TTATTAATATATTTTTGAGATAGTCACTGATAATTGAAAGAATTTTTTTTTTAAATTGGCTTATAGAATTGACTTGGGATTTTTATGTTTGAAAGTGAAATCAGTGATGAAATTTATAGGGAAAAACTATTTCCCCTTATAACTGTGTCTATGATATTGACTTGTTTTTCTTTATGAAAATGATTGATCATTGGCAAGGGGAGATTCCCATTTTTGTTAGTTTATCCATAGTAAAGATCTGTGGAGTGGCAGGAGTGTCCTCATTCGAAAAAGTTGTCTGTCTGAACATTAATTTTAATTTCTAAAATGTGGTCTGAAGATAGGATAACCAGCTGGCTGCTTTGCCCAGGCCTTTCCCAGCCTAGCACTGCGAGTCTAGCTGCTGCAGGAAACCCCTCAGTGCCAGGAAATCCAGGATCTGAAAGGGCCACGTAAAATTAAAGGATTCCAGTTTATCAGATTTCATTAGTGAACCATAGGACAAGTATTCAAACTAATCTTACTTGCCATCAGAGTGCTTAGAGTCAAAAATCTCTAAGGTAACCAGAACCCAAACCACATGAGGCTTTTTAGATTGAGATCAATACTCTGCATTTAAAGACTAGTGCCTGGTGGCTTCGATTCGACTGGAATTACATCATTTTTGTTAGTTGTTGCCCTCTGTAAGTCTTCAGGTGATGAGTTCAAGAAACAGTCTAGTACATATTTTTATATTAGCAGTATTCAAAAAAAATTGTGGTAAGCAAGTTTCTAAGACTCATGTATAGAAGCTAGATTAAAAGTCAAGTTTATACTTAAACAGAATCTTGCCTGTTTTGGGCTTTTCAGTTCAAATAGTGCTGTCTTAATATTGCACAAATTTTAGGTTCCTTTATTTAACTATTGTGTTCACTTTTCTCATTTTTCATACCACCCCTCTACCAGTTCTTTAGATTTCTTTGTAGTAGAGCATCTCTATCTTTAAGCAGGTTACTTAGTTGTTTGTTTTTCTACTGCCTTTATTTGAATGTAAGCTTCAGGAAAGTAAGAGCCCTTTTTGTCATCTCTACCACTGTATCTTGGAGCCCAGAGTAGCACATCCTAACTTCTGAATAAGTATTTGATGTATTACATGAAAGAACTGAGTATCTCTGTGAGTAGGTTTTACAGTTCTGCATGCTTTCCAGCCTGTTTTATTTTAACAGTCTAGGACATGTTGAAACATGTTGTTTTTATTTTTAAATTTTTTATTTTTTAGGATTTTATTTGTCAGAAGAGAGAGCAAGCACGTGAGCACAAGCAGGGGGAGTGGCAGGGGGAGGGAGAAGCCGGCTTCCCGCTGAGCAGGGAGCCCAATGTGGGACCCTATCCCAGGACCCTGGGATCATGACCTGAGCCGAAGGCAGATGCTTAACTGACTGAGCCACCCAGGCGCCCCTATTTTTAAATTAAAAAAAAAAAAGGATTTATTTGAGAAAGAGTGCGCAAGCACAAGCCAGGGAAAGGGCAGAGGGAGAATATTCAAGCAGACTCCCACTGAGCATTGAGTCTGACTCAGGGCTCTGTCCCACAACCCATGAGGTTAGGACCTGAGCAGAAACCAAGAGTTGGACACTTGACTGAGCCACCCAGGTACCCTGAAACATTTTGTTTATAAAGAAACATTTAAATCTGAGTCTCTCTCTCTCTCTCTTTTTTTTTTAAAGATTTTATTTATTTGACAGAGACACAGCAAGAGAGGGAACACAAATGGGGAGTGGGGGAGGGAGAAGCAGGCTTCCTGCGGAGCAGGGAGCCCGATGTAGGGCTCGATCCCAGGACCCTGGGACCATGACCTGAGTCGAAGGCAGACGCTTAGTGACTGAGCCACCCAGGTGCCCCAAATCTGGGTTTCAGATTGTGCAGAAGGAGTTAAAAAAATCCCGTTTTGTTAATAAACCCTCCCGGAGAGCTCCCATGAGGAAAGGGAATTTGGAATAGTGACCTTAAATCTTATTTAAAAAAATGGCAATTCATAACCAGTGGTGAGAATTGAAAGTTAATAGATTTGGATTGGAAGTATTTGGAAAAGCTTGGTCTACTCCTCTTTATCACCTCACAGCACGGGCCCCACACTCGCAATTTGTAAAGGCGAGGAGAGGAGAGCATGAGGAGATTGTGTTGGAGAAAGAGAATTGAATCCCCTGTACTTACTACATTAAATGGAGCAAGAGGGTGCTAATGAATTACTGAAAGTCTGTATCTATAAAGTGAGGACAAGTCAGTAAATAGTCTTAGTTAGTGGTACTCACAGTTTAGTGAGCATGGGAATCTTTTGGAGAGTTGTAAAAATCATTCCTTAGTTGCAGCCTCAGAAATCCTGATTGCAGAATACAGGAATCTGTATAAATCATGGACACTCAGGTGTTTGCTGATGGAGTTGGTCTGAGCACCACACTTGGGAAAAACTGCTGTGAGAGACCGAGGAATAAATTATAAGTGAAAAGATTAAGTTTTGGCAAAAAAAAAGTTTCTGATACTGTAATAGATTGATTTTATATGTAAAAACCATTCCTGCTTCTGACTGCTGTGGTATGTGAGAAGGCACCCAGAATGCCTGTTGGCGGCTGCCTGGTACATACAAAATGTGTCCAATTTAAAAGCCTTTTGGGGCTTGCACTGAATAGCCAACTCATTTTATTTTTTTATTTTTTTAAATATTTTATTTATTTATTTGAGAGAGCGAGAATGAGAGAGAGAGCACATGAGAGGGTGGAGGGTCAGAGGGAGAAGCAGACTCCCTGCTGAGCAGGGAGCCCGATGTGGGACTCGATCCCGGGACTCCAGGATCATGACCTGAGCCGAAGGCAGTCGCTTAACCAACTGAGCCACCCAGGCACCCGCCAACTCATTTTAAACAGTGGAAATATTACTTTTATTTAAGTGAACTGCTCCATCCATTTAGGTGCAGGATTCGCTAACGTCAGTCTTTAAGCCTCTCATGATGTTTCTCAATTGGATTCGAAGCTGGGGCGGGGGGGGGGGCGCTAGTGATTTGATTCAACCAACATTTAATCTCAGAATCCTGTGGATTTTTACTCAGATGGATTGTAGTAACAGTAAACTCATAGCTTCATGTATGTTAAGTCCATTAATCCTCACAGCAACTCTTTAAGAGGTAGGGGTACTGTTAAACCCATTTTACAAATGAAGAAACTGAGACCCAGAGAGGTTCAGTGATTGGCCTAAGGTGATACAACTAATAGGTGGTAGTGAGGAATTCAAATCCAGGTTGGTCTTAATCACTGTATTCTCATGAGTGATAGAAATTTGATAACATTTTGAGGAGTGCTTCCAAGGCCACTGGTGAATGTACTTGAGGCTCTCCTCTGTCTTCTGGTAGGATTTCTTGGTCATTTTGATATTACAGAAGTTGTGAACATGAAAATCCCCTTACATAACCTAAAATAATTAAAAAAAAAAACACCTCTTTCCTATAACTAAAATTGAAGCTTTTATCATAAATTTAAGTAGCTGAAAAAGATGCAGTTTCTGATGAATCATAAATACTGATTTAAAAATAAAGGTATTATATGTCTTTAGTGTATCTAGTGGAATGTAATACTGTAATGAGTTGGTGTCTACCATGATTGCTTTAATAAACATAAGTAAACAATTCAGATTTAACACTGTTCCTTTAAAAACTCAATTCCCCCCCCAAAATGTTTACCTAATAAATTTTTATGCTTGAAGGTCTTACTGATTATCCTTTTGTTTTTTGTAGCATATTTGTATGTAAATTGTTAGATTTTGCCACGACCATAAGGCACCAGATGTTCATATTTTGTTGTTAAAATTGTTGTAATTAAGACACAGTTGACCCAAACAGCAATTGTACATATTGATACTTGGGAGTAAAACTTTATTGGAAATGCCCCTCTTAATAGGTGGGGGATTATATGGTTCCCATTAAATTAGAAAGCTTTGTTGACCATTATTTCAAATTGTGTTCTTGTTGACTTCCCAAAGAGGTCTGAATGTAGGTTAAATATATTTATAGGTATTTAAATACAGTGGGCCAAACTAAAATTGAAGGTGGGCGAGAAGGGAAGATGGGAAAGGAGACAGCCTTCATACATTGGCTGCAGGTGTGTATCCAGGCACAGCAGCTTTATGTAAGTGCTTCTGTGGAACCTAAGGATCTAGAAAGCATTCCTTGAACTCTGCATGCCCACATGTTCCTTGGGAAATCTTGGGATTATAGGTACCTTAGACTGCTACTCAAGGACTCTTGCAGTGTGCTGAAAATGGTACCAGGATGTTTACCTTTGCATTAGAGCAAGTAAGTACATAAAAATAGTAAGGGTATAGATTGATGTGTATTCTCAAGGTGAAATACTGTGTAGCAGTTAAATTGCAAAATTAAGTGTCTCAATTTAGAACAGTAATACTGTATTCATGGATATAAACCTTGAATAACAGGTTTCATTGAACTTCACAGTTCCATTTATATGGAGATGGGTTTTTTCCATACAGTACATAGAGTATATAAACACATCTTCTCAACCTTTACCTTGCCTTATTTTTAAGAATACAGTAAAAACAACAAATGTGTTAATTGACTTATTGGTACATTTTCTGGTCAATAGGCTATTAGTAAAGTTTGGGGGGGTCAAAGATGATACAGATTTTCAACTGGGGGGTGGGTGCATCTAACCCCCCACTTAACGGTGAACTATAATGTATGGAAAAATTTAAATTCATTGTGGTGGGAAGCATATGGGACAAGTGGGGGTTATGCATAAAGATGAAGATAAAAAGGAATTTACTTTTTAAAGATTTATTTTAGAGCATGGGGGGGGACTGGGGAGGGAGAGTCTCAAGCAGGGTATGTGCTGAGGGCAGAGCCCAACATGGGGCTCGATCTCACCACCCTGAGACCATGAGCTGAGCTGAAACCGAGAGTTGGACACTTAACTGTTCCACCCAGGTGCCCTGCTTTTTAAACATGTTTATCAATTCAAGATGGTAAGCACATAAATATCAAGTTCTTTGTTCCTGGCATTTTTTCATTTCCCCAAAGTATGTGTGAAACTAAAAAAAAAATGTGTGGGAAGAATATTTTGACTAGATTGGTAGTAAAGGCATGGATAGTACTGATAAATGAAGTGCCAGTGAGCAGGCATACTGAAATTATGCCATCCAAAGTAGGTATATAAAACTCATTCTTGTCATCACAAACCTGTCTTACGTATTTACTTCAAAACCAGAGTTTCCTGTATGGTTCTCTTAGGGCTGGGATTGGGATTTCCTGGAGACAGGTGAGGGGACAGTGTCCAAAATCTAAGCCTTTTGGCTTTAATAAGTATCTTTGCCTAGATTTCCTAGGTGTTAAGCTTTCTATAGTTCTTTTAAAATATCTTCCTTTCAAATTCTTAGTGTTAAAGACCCAAACACCAGCTTCTTCATAATTTTTATTCAAGCAGCAAGTACATACAGGAGCTGAAAAAGATCATCACAACTTACTGATTTAAAAAATATTAAATACCAATTAAATAGATTCCCCCAACAGTGAGCATTTATTTTTGATTGTAGAACTTGAGTATCTCTTGCACTGATACTTTTCTCTGGTTATCACTTGATCAGAAAAAATACTCGTCCCAGCTCAAACATTACCTTAGGGTGATAAAAAGTGAGATTGATTAATTTCATAGCAAATTACTGGTAAAAACTAAAACGGGCGCCTGGTTGGCTCAGTCATTAGGCGTCTGTCTTCGGCTCGTGTCATGATCCCGGCATCCTGGGATGGAGCCCCGCATCGGGCTCCCCTTTTGATGGGAAGCCTGCTTCTCCCTCTCCCACTCCCCCTGCTTGTGCCCTCTCTCGCTGTCTCTCTCTGTCAAATAAAATCTTAAAAAACAAAAAAAACCCAATGTTTATAAAAAGAACGATTTTTCCAAAATTGTGATTAATTAAAAACGCTTCTGAAGTCTTTCCCACATGGCAAGCTGCAGATGTGAGGCAAAGGTACTTGCTGCTAGGTTGTACATTATAAATCTGCAGCTAGAACTTTCTCTAAATGCTATCTTCAAATACAGAACTCCTCCAAAAATCACACTTTGTGCATTTGCAATATTACCACAGTTACTTGAAACTTGGGCCTCACTTCCAAATAGACTAATTAGAACAAAGCCATGCTCTTTTCCACTGTCATTTTCTGTCAAGTTATCTTTATTTTCCTTTTATTTTTTAATTTTTATTTATTTTTTAGTTACACCCAATGTGGGGTTTGAACTCACAGCCCCGAGACCAAGAGTGGCATACTCCACTGACTGAGCCAGCCAGGTGCCCTTGTTTTCATCTATTTACCTCAATGGTGATAAGGATTACGATCATCCACTCCAGGCGGAGTGCCCTTTTCTCAGTCAGGTGATTCCGCATTAGATCTGTCAGCTCCATGCAGTGCTGAAGTTTTTCATTCATAACCTGCATTAGAAAAATTTTAGGAAGTACCCTGTATTTATTTATATATGTATATATTTAAGATTTTATTTATTTGAGAGAGAGAATGAGAGAAAGCACATGAGAGGGGGGAGGGTCAGAGGGAGAAGCAGACTCCCCGCTGAGCAGGGAGCCCGATGCGGGACTCGATCCCGGGACTCCAGGATCATGACCTGAGCCGAAGGCAGTCGCTTAACTGAGCCACCCAGGCGCCCCAGTACCCTGGATTTATATTTAAACAAGTTTAAGAACTAAGTCACGTCACATATCAAAATTCCAAAGGTCTGAAATAGGTAAACAGAATTTATCCTCCAATTCTTGCTCCGTTCTCTCCCCAAGGCAACCTGCCAATGTGAGCCTGCATCTGAGTCCATCTAGAGACACTGTAATGCAGATTGAACTGCAAGAAGTACTTTACCTACTGAAGCTCTTACATTCCTGAGATTTTGATGGAAGATGTAAAAAAGTTTTTGAGTCCTAGTTTTTGGTAGCTGGCCTTGGGAGTTTAGTAGTTAAGAAAGGCAAATTGGAGGGCGCCTGGGTGGCTCAGTCGTTGGGCGTCTGCCTTCAGCTCAGGTCATGATCCCAGGGTCCTGGGATGGAGCCCCGCATCAGGCTCTCTGCTCGGCGGGAGGCCTGCTTCTCCCTCTCCCACTCCCCCTGCTTGTGTTCCCTCTCTTGCTGTGTCTCTCTCTGTCAAATAAATAAAATCTTTAAAAAAAAAAAGGCAAATTGGAAACATGCATTGTGGCTGAAACGCCCAAAAGATGATAAAAACTGATTACCTTCTAAAATTGTTCAGGTTCTGTGCAAACCTCCAAACCGTACCATTTGACCTGCTGCACACTTGCCACTAGTTGGCACTGCTTTTAGGGCTGAACTGTGGAGCTTCTGGGTTCTGATGCCCCACCACATGCTGGTTGGGGCAGGGTCACAGAAAACAATTGGGGTTTTTGTTTTTTTAAAAGATTTTATTTTTAAGTAACCTCTACACCCAATGTGGGGCTTAAACTCATGACCCCGAGATCAAGAGTCACATGCGCTACAGAATGAGCCAGCCGGGCGCCCCCAGAAAACAGAATCTTTGAATTTAAGACTTGGATGTGACCACTGGTAGTTGTACCTCCTTAATCTTTCTTTTGGAAATTGGAAGAAGTCTGGAAACCTTTTTTTTTTAAGTTTTTATTTATTTATTTATTTATTTATTTATTTATTTATTTGAGAGAGCGAGAATGAGAGAGAGAAAGCACATGAGAGGGGGGAGGGTCAGAGGGAGAAGCAGACTCCCCGCTCAGCAGCAGGGAGCCCGATGCGGGACTCGATCCCGGGACTCCAGGATCATGACCTGAGCTGAAGGCAGTCGCTTAACCAACTGAGCCACCCAGGCGCCCTGGAAACCTTTTTTAAAATAGTTTGATTCCCCCTGATTATTTATGGGGCATGGGGAGGGCAAGGGGTTTGGTCTGGAAATTTGAGACAATCGTCACAGACGCATGTTTGGGGACTGACTTCCGTCAGCGTACCTTATGTACTATGTACATATGTACTATGGTTGTACACAGCGCACAAGACTGCCTCAGGGGCGCCTGGGTGGCTCAGTCGGTTCAGCGTCTGCCTTCCGCTTGGGTCATGATCTCAGGGTCCCGGGATCCAGCCCCATGTCCTGCTCCCTGCTCAGTGGGGAGTTGGCTTCTTCCTCTCCCTCTGCACCCCATCCCCACTTGTGCTTTTTCTCTCCTCCCTCTCTCCCAAATAAATACTTAAAAATCACATAAACGGCCTCAATAATGAGAACGCAAGGGACCACAGTCATAAGCATATATTCGCCATGCTTCCTGCCTTTGTGGCCATCCCCTAGTTTCTACTCTGTGTAAATGCTTAAACAGTGCCGCCTTCTGTCCTCCCTCCCTCCCCTCCTTTCTGTTTCTACCGGCTGCTCGGATCTTGGTCTATCAACATGCTCATCCTCAGGCTTGCTTCTCCCTTGAAGGTGTGGGCCTGACCCTCTTGCATTTTCTTTTACCTCTGACTAAACAGACGCGTTCTTCCTCCACGTCCTCATCACCGAGTTTATTCTTTAGCCCTTCGGAGTTGCATATTGCCACTCTTCTGGAACCTCCAAATGTCTCCGAGTTAGTGCATCTAACAACTTTTCTTGGTTCTAAACCTCGGTGAACTCAAGCATTTGACACCACCTTGAAATGCACACTTCCTTTGGCTTTTTCTCCGCTAAGACCCAGGTTCTACCTCTGACGGCATCTCCTCCTGGGTTTTCTCTACCTCCTCTCGCCCTTAGATGACATTTCCCAAAGTCCTGATCTTCTCCTTCCTGCCTTCTAGCTCCACGCTCCGCTTGCACCATCTCATCCACTTCGGTTTGTGTAGACGCTCCCTAAACTTTGCATCCCACCATCACTATTTCTGTGATGTGTATGTGCCACCAGTACGTAATTTCCAGAAGACTTTGCTTAATTTGTTTATTTTAAAAGTAAACTGTCATCGCCATAAATGGACAGCAGTGTGATGTGAAACAGTGCTGCCTACAGGAAGCTGAGCCCGACGCCAGGGAAAGGGGAGTAGCATACACTAGAGGGTCCACCAGGAGCCACTACACCACTAAAACCAAACTAGTTCAGGGTCCATGTGTCACCTAAATTCATCTCTTGAACAAGTATATGTATCCCACATTTTGGGAAAGACTTAAACTACTATCTCTTTTCTACTCCCAAATATAACTGTTTAGTTCTGGTTTCTTCTCTGACTGAAATTCTAACTGCCTATAAAACATCTAATGGGTTTCCTGACCACACCTCAAATTTAATGTTTCTCAAACTAAAATTGACACCCTGTCCAAGTCTATCCCTTGGCCTGGGTTCCCTTTCTCCGATCAGGTCACGCCGTCTTCCCAGTCACCTGGGGTGGAGGTTATTTTTTTTTTTGACGTTATTTATTTATTTATTTATTTATTTATTTATTTATTTATTATTTATTATTTATTTATTTATTTATTTATTTATTTGCCAGAGAGAGAGAGAGAGAGCGCACCAGCAGGGGGAGTGGCAGGCAGAGGGAGAAGGAGGCTCCCCGCTGAGCCGGGAGCCTGGCATGGGACTCGATCCTGGGACTTTGGGATCATGACCTGAGCTGAAGGCAGTCGCTCACCGGACGAGCCGCCCAGGCGCCCCTGGGGTGGAGATCTTTGATCTCTAATTCCCACTCCCTATAGTTATGCCCCATGGTGGACAGTCTTGAATCTATCCCCTTGTTAGCTTTCCTTAATACTACATGAAATATTCGTTATTTGTTAAGAACAGATCCACTGCCCCCGCCCCCCACTGGCATCAGAGTTCTCATTCTAAGCAGTTGGGTTGGATCATGTCACTCCCCTATTCAACAGCTTTGAAACATTTTACCAGTCCATTGCCTTCTCAATACCATGAAACAATCCCAGATCATTTGGTCCAGTCATGCTTCAGAGGATGGCATCTCTGCCTTCCCAGCCTGCTCTTTCCTCGGTGCTCCTAAAGCACTTGGTTTCCTTGTTTTAGCACTTACTTCATTCTGCCTCACAGCCATCTGCTGGTGGCTCAGCACCCTTCCCCCGGCCCCTACACCTTGGGGAGTTACTCTTCCACTATTTTCAACCACCGGATGTGGCCAACCATGATCTCAGCACCTACCTGACACCCTCCCCAGCGCTCCCCACAAAAGCCCCAGGGTGAAGGGGTGGCTATATGACCCAGGCTTAGCCAACCATAATGCCCACTTCCCTATGGTTGGCCAAAGCGTGGGACACATCCAGTCCTTTGAAGTTGCCAGGCAGAGTGAAACGTAGCTTGGAAATTCCCTCTTCCCACACCCATTTCTCCCATTCCCACAGAGAAGGCCACAAGGACGCCAACTTGGCTCCTTGGGGCAGGTGCTGAGGAAGGAGTCCTGACTGATTTAACTGGGTCTGTGCGACAGACGTTCCCCACCCCCACACTCTAGCCTTGTTCTTCTCAGCAGTACGTGGTGATAGACAGGTAAGCTCGTTCAAACTTTTCTGTGGTGTGCAAGCAATAGAGTCCCCATTAGCGCATGCTTCCTATTTCATTTAGCTATAGAGTCACGCATGTTACATGCACACGGATGAGGGAGCACGAGAAAACAGGGATGGTATCACAGAGGTGGTAAATGTGAAGTAGGCTCTAAATTGGCAGGTGCCGGGCACCTGGGTGGCTCGGTCAGTTAAACGCCTGCCTTCGGCTCAGGTCATAATCCTGGAGTCCTGGGATCGAGTCCCGCATTGGGCTCCCGGCTCAGCGGGGAGCCTGCCTCTCCCTCTGACCTTCTCCCCCCTCATGCTGTTTCTCTCTCTCTCTCTCTCTCAAATAAATAAATAAAATCTTTAAAAAAAAAAAAGGTAAGTTAGTGCCAAATTGTGAGAGGAACTGTAGCCCCTAATTCCTGGGACCTGTGAGTAGGACATGGCAAAGGAGAGTTATGACTGCGTATGGAATTAATGTTGGAAATCAGCTGACCCTGACAGGGAGATAAACCTAGATTATCTGGGGGCGGGGGAGGGTCCAGTGGAATCACAGGGATCCTTAAAAGTGGAACTGGCAAGTACAAGAGCTTAGGAAAGTGATGCCACGTGAGGAGACCTCAACGCATCTGTTACATGGAAGGGGCTCCAAGCCAAGGAATGTGGGCAACCTGTAGGAACTGCAAAAGGCAAGGGAAGCACCTTTTCCTACACAGAGCCTCCAGAAAGGAACACAACGCTGCCAGCACCTTGATTCGGGCTCAGAGACTATGTCAGACTTCTGACCTACAGAGCTGTCATACAATACGTTCATGTTAAGCCAGTTTGGGATAATTTGTTACAGCCCCAAGAGAAACTTACTACACCATGCTGCAACGTTGGAATTTTATTCTGTAGGTAATGTGGGGTCCTTTGTTCAGTCTTCAAACATTGGTTGTGTGGACTACACTGTGCTGGG